TTTCAAAAGAAATTCAAGAATGCACTCTACTGCTTCTGCTCCGGGATTCACATCCCTTCAAATTGGTATTAGAGCATGGTTTTTTGTTCTGAATTTTTTGTTGAAATTTACACAAATTTTGGTAGGTTTTTCACTGCATTATGAATGTGGGTTTCCAAATTGGGTGTTTTCAAATTTTGGCGTTTAGAATTGCAATGGACATTCGTTTATGTATCGAGTCTGTAAGTTCGGGTCGACTGAAAGGTGTTCGGGGCGATGGATTAGACATTTTTTTCAGAAAACAACGAAGAAGACGACGAAGTTCTGTGACGGAAGCACCTATTGCTATGCAGTAGCGCCATGGCGCTACGCTTATGTGCTGCAGCGCTGCGACGCTTTGTAGTGCCATGGCACCATGTGTGTTGGAGTATGGTGCAGTAGCGCTGCAGAGCTTTCCCTAGTGGTTCCGAGGCGTCGGTTCGTGGGTTCGAACTGTTTTGGGTGTTTTTTAATTTTTTTTAAGTTTACTTTCATAGGATGACAAAATTCGGTCCAATTTTGCTACTTAATTATTATACGGTATGAATTTATGTTTCCCACTGGGATTTGGCTTTCCTTATCTACGTGCGCACTGCGTCATAATTAAATGTATGAAGCATAAAGTATGTCATTTAGATTAAAATCTCACCAAAGGTTAAAGCATGATCATGCATTGTATTAATATAAGTGCTATATTATATGAAGCATGATGTATTTTTTTTCTTGTAATTGATATGATTGTTGTGTTAATTAATGGAAAAATGAGTTACGTTGGACATGACATTTCTTTAGTAAGGTTCTGTGTAGGTTGAGTTATTTAAGCTAACTAAACAGGAAACACCTCTGCTTGGGAACCAATCTGTGGTTGAATTAGTCAATATTTTATAAAAGCATGCAATAATGTTTTAGTTTATTAAATCGTTTCATAAACTAAAAACATTAGTGTAAAACTATCCAATATAAACAAGTTGTATTGGGCAAATGATTTTATTTAAGGATGAATTTTTTATCCGATTTTCTCTAAATAATAAACCCTAAGTTATAAAATACTTAGTTGGAGGATTACTGTATATATGTGTATAACATACCGGTATGTTTCATATATGGGTATGTATAATATATACTCTTTTCCCTCACGCTCTCCGTGAAGTTCATACTGTGAGATTCATGCTCGGCCTCGTGGTGCTCTAGAGCATCCTCCCTTTGGAAGATGTTTGCATGAGTCGATATCAAGGTGAATGGAGAAAGTATTTAAAGTAAGTGGGAGAATGTTGTGTGACAATACTTCCTACGATCTCCTTCATTAGTTTGCAAAAAGTAAGAGTTTCGTGCTAGGCCTTGTGGTGCCTTGGGAGAATCCTCCATTCGGAAGGTGTTTTCATGATATCAATGCTATGGCAAACTCCAGAAATGGATAGGGTTCTAAAGTTTTTGCAACGATATTGTCCTACCCTTCGGTGGGCTTGTCAAGACAGAATTTTATGCTTTAAAATGAAAGGGCTACACCTACAAGAAATTATTAAGTTAGTTAATGATTTCTGGACTAAATGAAATGGTAGCTAATCATTATAGGGGTAAGAGTTATCCTACTATAGTGCTTGGTTGAGATAGTCTCAATTCAATGAAGAAATAAAACTGACTTGGCGGTTGTTCTAAATCATCAAAGTATCATTGCAAATTATTTAATTGCAAACTGACTTGGCGATTATTTCTTAATTTGCTAAATTTGATTGGTGTAAAGAATTCTTGCAAAGTTCGAATGTAAATAATTTGTTTGTTTTCAGTAATTATGTCTACGTCTTTAATTTCACTTCTCGCCGTCGATAAATTGACTGGGGATAATTATCCCACATGGAAAACGAAACTTAATGCCATACTCGTAATAGATGTGATCTCTACTTTGTCTTAACGAAGGCCTGTCCCGAGGCACCTGGACCTAACGTCGCGAAAGCTGTTCGTGGTGCATATTTCATATGGACAAAGGCCAACTCAAAGGTTGAATCTACATCTTGGCCAACATATCTTATGTTTTGGCCAAGAAGTATGAGACCATAATCACTGCATTTGAGATCATTGATTCATTGTGTGACATGTTTGGAAAATCTTCATCACAAGTCATGCATGAAGCTCTCAAATTCATATTCAACTCACAGATTAAGGAAGGAACATCTGTCCGAGGCATTACAACAAAATTGGTCTATAATGTCAGTTCTCAACTGATATCATAGATATTAAATGTCAGTTCTGCAACTGACATTAACCCGGTGTCATCGTACTGTACAATGTCGTTTACAAAACAATGTCAGTTGTTAACTGACATTGTTAATTGATAAGAAAAGAAAATAATTCTTCCTCGATTACCACAAATGATTGATACAAGACTATATAAATAGCAGTCACAAAGAAGAAACTAAAAAGTTCTGTTATTTGATTGTTTGTTGGTACAAATGGAGTACATATGAAGCCGCTATCTAACTTCTCTTTTATGAAGTGTCTATCAACTTCAACATGCTTGGTTCTGTCATGTTGAAGTGGATTATGTGCAATACTGATGGCAGACTTGTTATCACAATAAAGTTTCATAGGCCCTTCCCATGAAATCTTCAAATCTTCTAAAATAATTTTTATCCACAGTAATTCGCAGATGCCCAATGCCATTGCTCTAAATTCCGTTTCTGCACTTGATCTTGTAACTACATTTTGTTTTTTACTTCTCCATGTCACTAAGTTCCCACCTAAGAAAGTACAATAGCCAGAAGTGTATTTTCTATCGTCTATCAATCCTGCATAATCTGCATCTGTATAAACCTCTAGATTGAGTTTCTCGCCTTTCTTAAACAACAATCCTCTCCCAATGGAGTTCTTTAAATAGTGGAGTATTTGGTACACAGCTTGAAGATGAATTTCTTTTGGACTATGCATAAATTGGCTTACCACTCCAACAGCATATGCAATATCTGGTCTCCTATGAGAAAGATATATTAATTTTCCAACTAACCTCTGGTAAGTTTCTTTATTTACTGGAGGACTCTCTTCAATTGCACATAATCTATGGTTTTGATAAATCGGCGTTCCTATTGGTCTGCTGCCAAGTTTTCCTATTTCAGAAAGTAAGTCAATCACATATTTCTATTGTGAATATTCCTTGTTTAGAATATGCTACTTCTATCCCAAGAAAATATTTCAGTCTTCCCAATTCTTTAACTTCAAACTCTTGGATTAAACAATTTCTTAGTTTACTTGCTCATTATTATCATTGTCAGTGACGATAATATCGTCCACATAAACAATCAATGTTGTCACTCCCCCTGTAGCAGAATGTTTTATAAATGATCTCTTTGACTTTGTTTATAGTCCATCTTTCTCATAACAATCTACCAAACCATGCCCTAGGAGATTGCTTTAATCCATACAATGCCTTTTTTAATTTACAAACTTTATTTCCTACTTGCTGATACCCAGGTGGAATCTCCATATAAATTTCTTCTTCAAGATCACCATGTAGAAAAGCATTTTTTACATCATATTGAAACATGTCCCATTCATGATTTATAGCAAGAGATAGAAGTATTCGTACTGTGTTCATCTTGGCAACAGGCGCAAAGGTTTAAAGGTAATCAACTCCATATGTTTGAGTATATCCCTTAGCAACCAACCGTGCTTTGTACCTATCGAGTGTTCCATATGCTTTATACTTTATAGTATATATCCAACGACTAAACAGCAACTCAAAAATGGAGATCCAAAACTGAAAAATCAACACTGGACCGAACCGAAAGAGGGCTGAACCGAATAAAAAATAGTTGAATCGAACCAAAATATTCCGAACTGAACCAAATCTGACTGAAACGAACTGAAACCTGTCGAAATGATCCGACAATGAACTGAACCGGACCGAAAAGCGATGAACCAGTCCAACAACGAATTGAACCGAGCCTAAAGGAGCTGAACTGGCTGGACCGAACTAAGTGAACCAGACTATTTGAACAGAATTGGACGAACTGGAAATTGTGAACCGAAGCAACAAATGTTTAGATTTCCCTTTTAAAACCCTAGCAGCCACCCTTTACGACAACAACCCTAGCAGCCACGCGAATCAGCAAACAGCGGCGGCGGCAGCAGTCGACGGCGGCGGTGGTCGGCAGTGGTCGGCGGCGATGCTGCAGTGGGTTGGGTACAATGAACACTTGCAAAATCGTGTTCAAAACTTCAAACCCTAATGGGTACAAAATCCTAATGGACACAAAACCCTAATTCCCACAAATATTTTAGAGGAAACTTGGCTCTGATACCATGTTAATTAAAAGAAAATAATTCTTCCTCGATTACCACAAATGATTGATACAATGCTATATAAATAGCAGTCACAAAAAAGAAACTAAAAAGAAGTTCTCTTAGGATAAGGAAATACTTACCTATTAGAACAACAGAACCCTAACCTAAATAAAATAGGAAAACTATAATTTAACAGACATCAAATTAAACGTCATTGTATGTGTTTGATGTCGATTACTTTAACATCGGTTCTAAACTGACATTAACCTTGGTGTCCTTGTAGCCTACAATGTCGGGTAGTCTGTTATGTCAATTTGAAACAGACATTGATTATTCAAGTAATGTCGGTTAGGATCTGACATTGATATAACCGACATTGTTCCTTTGTAACTAACACGTTTACATTAAACTGACATTGTTATTTTAAAAACCTGGAAAAATTTTATTAATAAAATCTTGTACGTACAATAGCTACAAAACCTGTATCAAAATATTTACAGCAAAAAAAAAAATATTGTGCAATATAATCAATAATTTCAGCAATCCAGTAGACAATGTTGAGTAATTCAATACCAGTACTTTTATAAGGCGCTCCAACACAATCTAACTACCAGAACAAATCAATACAATCATAAGAAATCCAATACACATCCTCGATAGAATTGAGCAAATCACAAAATACATCGTCAATCATTCTATAATATCCAATTCATTCACTAAGCCACAACATACATCATTAATGTAATTCCACAATCATAACATTTATATACAAGTTTTATAAATTACAATATGTGAAACCTTTATACACAATATGCTTCAAACTCGAAAATGAAAGACAAAATGACAGGTTAAATTATCTAGAAATACAATCGTCATTCTTTTAACTAGTAAGTCCAAATGTCAAATACGTACAAGAATTGGATCAATTTCTAATACCATCAGCCTTGGTTGATGGAGTGACAACCTGTATCAATTTCATAGGTATCGCCTGCAACATAAGTTAACAAGTCAAAAATTGAAATGGCCTGAAGGATACCATATAAAATTAGCTATATTAGGAATTATAACATCCAAATGCGAGAGAAGCGCAATGGAACAATCCTTCAAGAATTTTGAACATACAAATTTTGAAACCATCTTTTATATATACATACTAAAGATACACACAAAGATCCATCACTGGCAAGCATAACTTAACAACTAATGAATATGCAGAACCCATGTATTAATGTAAAGTGACATACTTACAAAATTTTCACTTTTGGTTTTTCTTTGATCTCAAGATTCCAGCTGCTAAACTCGTCCGACTTTATATCCTGACAAATAATGTTGTAAATGTGTGTTAACCTCACCTCACATGCTCCAATTAATAGAACACAAACATGATGCTCAAGTAAATTTTCGTAAAGATTTTTATTCAACTCTAATGTCCTAGTTTTTCTGTTATTGTTTTGGATTATTAACAAATTACGCACAATTTTTGGAATTTGAATGATGCACTACCAAAACTACTTCGAAATCCATAAAAAAAAAAAAAATCCACTTCGAATTAAGCTTGCGACTCACTGAATCATTTCAGAAAACACCTTATATTCATTATGGACATGCCCCTCAATCAACTTTCTAAGATAAAAAAAAAAAATACTCATCTAAAAAATGATGATTGGAATTAAGTATCAATACAACAATTTGGATTTGATATTTGATTCAGATTGCACAAGAACAACGACGTCCAACGAATAATGTCATTTAACAAACAAGTTTTACTCTCCGATCATATATTTCAAACTAAATAAGCTATGGAACATCAAAACATACCAATCGTAGTTACAGGTTAGTAAATAGAGCCTTCTTTTAAGTTGGCACTAACCCATAAACTAGCCCAATCTACTTCTCGCAGAAAATAAAATAATACATTAGAGAGAGATTTTTTATTTGAAACATAGTTATTGTAAATACATTAAAAGTAAAAAAATTCTCACATCAAATCCACAAATCATACGAAATACACTGAACTTCATCAATAGTTTGCGGTGTTAATGTATATCACCTACAGGTTGGAGAGAATATCAATCACTTACATTGCAGAAGCTTTTTCACAAACTGCCCTGCCTTGCAAGGTATTTACCATATGCAGCACTAAACAAATGAAACAAGGCCAAATGATTGATGGATACAAAAATCCCATTACAAATTAACATGATAATCTAAAATACCAACATTTGGAAAGTTAATATTAACCTATGAGTAGAAATTAAAGTACAAATAAAGTTCATTGAATGAGAGAGTACCTCCCAATTGGACGACTATTGACCCATGATGGCTCTAACGCGGGATTGGCATCGCAATAACTTCCTCGTTTTCATCATCACCCTAAACCTTCGTGCCCTTGCGACAATGACTCTTGAAGCAACAAGCACCCACAGAGAAAACACCTGCAATCGGAAATGAACCAGAGGTCACCCTACTGGCCAAATTGGAGTAGATAAGATGGTCATTTATCAGTCTCCACCATCACCTCCAAGCATTATTATCAATTTTTTCATTTCACTACTCTTTCTCAAATCTCAATTGCATGTTATTGTTGAGATTTCTGGTATTTGTTTGGAAAAATGAGCAATTATAATATGTATATGTTATTCCCTATAGAAATCCAAATTCGACACAAATGTGCCGATGTCTAGCATATCATAATTTCCTAATTGTCAAATAAGATGAACAGAAATGCCTCATTGCCATTCAACTCAAATATATGAAATCACATTCTCGTAATTGTCTACAAGTTTTTGCACGCTCTTGTAAGTATTGGTGCATCAGTGCGGATGTAATTAGCTCAATAATGTTCCATGAAGGCATTAATATTTGGCTTTGGCATTTTATCAAACAGTTTCGAGCAAATCTTTGATAGCATCGTTTGACGTAAAATGGAGGGTGAGAGAATAAAATGAAAAAGGAACAGTTTTAGAAAGTAAAAGAAGTTAGTTATTACCTTAATTTCAATTCCAAAAACGTGTGGTTCTTTGATCTTGTAGGAGTAATCGGACTACCGAGAGAGACGAAGAGACGTACGGCAAACTAAAATCCACCAATTGCAAAACATAAGATATAGAATCATGGGAAACAAAAACCTGCAGAAGTTCTTAGAGCCACCAATTGCAACCAAACAGTAAGCATTGGTGAGTTGGAGAAAACCCAAATTTCACATGAGTTCTAAAAAATAAGCATTGGTGATTAGAACACAAGAGGGTGTCCTAAGAAGAATAGACACCGACATGAAGCATACAAAATGGATATGGCGACACGACAATTTATAAAACAATAATGGCGAGAGGAAGAAACGATCAACATCTAAGATAATTGTTAGAACTTATAATGATTAGAGTCTAAAAGTGTTCGAAAATTTTCTTTTTGTTATGAAGTTAAAAAAAGAAATACAAACCTTGCAGCAATCGGCGACAAAGTGGTTGGTGGGCGCTCTGCGAAGTGGTAGCAGTCGACAACGTCCTCGAAGGTTTTCTTGGAGATAAGAAAAATAAAATAGTGATTTTTAAATTATTTGAAAAGATATTTTAGTTTATGCCCACTAAATTTGAGGGTTTTTTGAAATTTTCTGGATAAATTTAAAATAAATGAGAAAAAACGGGTGTATACGGAATAATTTGGAGTTTTAGGGTGTTGAGACACAACCAGGTGGATTTTAATGAATGCGTCTCTTCAGGAGACGCATCTGTCACAACCAAAGGGAAAGTAGAATGCCGTTCAAGAATTTTTTTAAATAATTATTTTATTAATTCACATTAATATACCTACCTTTTTTAGTATTTTAAGTTGAGATTTTATTATTTTATATTAATAAATAGGTGAATCAAATACGGTTACTTTTTAAGGTTACTTTTTAAGATTTTTTTTTACAATAGGTCGATCAAATACGGTTACTTTTTAAGATTTTTTTTACAATAAAGATTTTATTATTTTATATTAATATAACTATTTTGTATTTTAATTAGGTTAATAATTAACATCTTTTCTAGTAAAATCTAAATTAAAATTTCATCACTTATCTAAATTTTTAAATTTTCTTTTAAATATGCTTCATAAACACAAACCTGAAAATTTATAAAAATAAATACATAGATTTAAAATAAGTCATAGTTCTTTGGTCAGATTTGGTAGTTTTAGTTTTTGATAGTTTAATAGTATGAATTTTGGTAGTTTTAGTTTTTGATAGTTTAATAGTATGAATTTTTTGTTGTACTATTTTTTTTTTAATAAATTTACTCTAGGCATGATTTGGTAGATTTCTTAATATTTAAAATGTTTTTGAGGATGTCTAATGTCATAAATTTATATTTTTTTTTCGAAAATAAATCCACACTATTAAAGATAAATATTTTATTATACATATTTCAAATATAATGTTTAAATTTAGAGATTTTAGAAAGTTTTAGAGGATTTTAGAGGACTAGAATTATTGTCTCTTTAAAAGTTTGTGGCCGTTTATGAATTTTGATTAATATAGTTAATGAGTTAAATCAATTAATCTTGCGGTTTTTCTCATCTGTAGGTCGATTAGGTTCCACATAAGGGGTAAAACAAGGATAAAGAATTTGAAATGTTTCAATTATATATGAGGGAAGGTATATAATGATATATTATATATACTTTATTTTAAATAAAGATTAAAAAATTAGACTATATTGTAATGGGAGAATTATTAAAAATAAATCTTAATTTTTGTCTATGAATTTTTAGGTTCGTTTTATTGTGATCAATGAAATTTCAAGATATGTATTTTCATTTTAACTATGTATTTATTTTTGTGAATTTCCAGGTTTGTATTTATCAAGTATATTTAATATAAAATTTAAAAATTTAGGTAAGTTATGAAATTTTATTTAGATTTTACTAGAAAAAACGTTAATTATTAAAATATTTATTGTAAAAAAAAATCTTAAAAAGTAACCATATGACCTATTTATTAATATAAATAATAAAATCTCAACTTAAAATACTAAAAAAAATAGGTATATTAATGTAATTTAATAAAAAAATTNACAGAGTAGAGCATTACGAACCTACGACAAATGAGGAAGAGCTGCTCCTCAACCTCGACTTGTTGGAAGAAAGAAGAGCAATGGCCCAGCTACGCCTGGTGGAATATCAAAGCAGAATGGCCCCCACATTACAACGCCCGCGTTCGACCTCGGACCTTTCAGGTCAGACATCTGGTCTTAAGGCGGGTCCAAACCCATGTGGGTGCTCTTGATCCGACCTGGGAGGGCCCGTTTGAGGTCAAGGGCATCGTCCGACCTGGGACGTACATACTAGCCGATCTGAGAGGAGACGTCCTCGCGCACCCGTGGAACGCGGAGCACCTGAAGCGTTATTATCCTTGAAACGCCAAAAGAATTTTCCATGAATCTGTAAAGACTGTTCCAAAGGAATTATGATCGGAATAAATGTGATGATTTAATTTCATGCTTCCGAGTTCGACCAGAAATTAAATGGGGGCCACGGACTCCCACGCGATCACATTCCAGCAGTTGTTTCAAATTCAATCCTCTGAAGCCTAAGGGTACGAGGTGCGATGTCAAAACCTCTGACGAGCTTAAAACTCAAACCTTCAAGGCAAAGGGGCGATGTGAGAAGTTCAAAATGATCAGGCCTCCGAACTTGAGGGTGCGAGGTGCGATATGAAGAATAGCTACGGACTTAGGATTTTGGCCTTTTAACCTTTTTTAAGTTAAGGGTGCGATGTTAAAAATCCAGAGTTGGTGCAGTGCATTGAACATTAAGAGATTCAAACTCAAACTTACAACTATTTTAAGTTAAAGGCGCGACCTCAGAAGTAAGAGGTGCGAGGTGACATTGGCTGCAGTTCAAAGAAAAGCAAAGAAAGGAAAGATGTTGCCAACAACAAAGTAGAATTGAACAAAGCTTCTTCATTAATGGAGAGCAGAGCCAAGGCTTATAGACCTTGCAGCTCTGCCCTGACACTTACAGACAAAAAAGAAGAAGAAAGACAGCGAAAAGCCTCCTGAAGGATGGTCGCCTAAGAGCCTGCTTGAGGAGCGCCCTCTTGAGCGGTGCCGACCTGATCCTCTTCGAGGTCGGAGTAGTCAGAGTCCAGATCTCTGACGTACTTATCCACCAACGCTTGGGGGCCAGGGGTGCCGCCAGGCCCAGACGCCCACTTCTCGGCATACCTCCTTTTCAGACCGCTGAGATCGATCTGAAGGTCAGGCATGTCGGAAGCAATGCCCTTCATGAGGAACTTGAAGCCCGCGTCARAGAAGTCCTTGGCAAATCCATCGAAGTCAGGATGCTGCCTAAACGATTCCTCCAGTAGGACTCCATTGCTGAGGCGCTCCTTCGCCGTCTCCAGCTCGGCAGTCGCATGCTCCAGCTCCTTATCCTTCGCTTCAAGCGCCTGGAGCATGTCGTCCTTCTCCTTCAGGAGCTGGAACTTCTCCTTCTCCAAGCCCCTGGNATGATATATTATATATACTTTATTTTAAATAAAGATTAAAAAATTAGACTATATTGTAATGGGAGAATTATTAAAAATAAATCTTAATTTTTGTCTATGAATTTTTAGGTTCGTTTTATTGTGATCAATGAAATTTCAAGATATGTATTTTCATTTTAACTATGTATTTATTTTTGTGAATTTCCAGGTTTGTATTTATCAAGTATATTTAATATAAAATTTAAAAATTTAGGTAAGTTATGAAATTTTATTTAGATTTTACTAGAAAAAACGTTAATTATTAAAATATTTATTGTAAAAAAAAATCTTAAAAAGTAACCATATGACCTATTTATTAATATAAATAATAAAATCTCAACTTAAAATACTAAAAAAATAGGTATATTAATGTAATTTAATAAAAAAATTGAACCACGTTCTACGGAAAGAAAAACGGATCGTTTTCTTTTCGTTTTGATACGATAGATACGTCTCTTCATTACAATCCACCCAGTTGCGTCTGTTTGACAAACGCAACACCTTAAACTCCAAATTTTTTAGTATACACCCGTTTTTTCTCATTTATTTTAAATTTACCCACAAAATTTCAAAAAACCCCTAAATTTGAGTTACAATGAAAAGGAAAGGAAAAAAGAAAAAAAAAATACACACCTCAACTCACTGTATGGTGACAGCTGGATGAGAAAGTTTGAGGGAGGGAGGGAGGGAGAATGAAATTCGAGGAAGTGAAGGAAGAATAAGGGAATCAGAAGGAAGGGAGGGAAAACAGAATTTTAGGGTTTATTTGGTTTTTTTTTTCCTTTTTTCTTTATAAATGTTTTTTTTAATATTATTATGTTAGTTTTTTTATATAAAATATAATACAATAGGCGCAAATTAAAATTAAAACCAAACGACTTGTTTTGAATCACAGTATACGCGATTTTTTCTTTCTCTAGCATGACGTTTCTAAACCGACATTAATGCTAGACATTTAATGTCGGTTTAAAAACGACGTCGTATATAATATTTACTGTCAGTTATAAATTAAATTGCAAACGATGACATTTTTTAATTCCCAGATGACGTCATTTTTAAACAAATTGTGCACACCTATTTTTATTTGTATAACGTGACGTTTATGAACCGAAACTATTTGGGAACGATGAATGTCAATTGTAAATTAACATCGTAAATAAAATTTCTAGAAAACCAGACGTCTCCTCATAAAACCGTATTTAGGAATGGCCAACTGACATCAAAGGTCTGAATTGTTCTAGTGGGAACATGTTCTCAGTATGATGGTCCAGTTCAGTGGCAGAGATGAATGTTGCTTCATCAATGAGTTCAGCCAAGTCAGTTTTATTCTAGAGTCTTTTCCGAAGAGCTTCCTTCAGTTTCGCAGCAACACTGTGACGAATAAACTGGAATACAACCTGACCACGTTTCTTAACAAGCTCTAGACTTTCGAGTCCCTCATGAAAAACAAGGGACCTGAAGGGAGGAAAATGTTGTCACCTCCATCAAAAACTTCCACAGATGTTCAACCGTTAGGACTAAGCTTGGACCTTCTTCTTCGGGTTTGAAGAACTTCGAGAAGAAGAATGGTGGACAAAGGAATAAAACTGTCCCTGGTGCAGCCTAGAAGGGGAAGAAGGCTAAGGCTGCAGCCAAAGGGAAATGTTTCCACTGTGGTGTTGACAGGCACTAGAAGAGGAATTGTGGAGATTGTCTTTGCTATTCCGATGGGTAGTGTCAAGTTATTTTTCAGCATACGTAGATGCATGTTATTAGATTTTCTAATGAATCGTTTATTGTAAGAAATGGTGTTGAAATTTGTTCAGCAAAATTAGAAAATAACTTGTACGTACTAAGACCAACTTTAACGAAAACAACTCTAAACACTGAATTGTTTAAAACTGCAACAACACGTCCAAAAGACAAAAAAAAATTCTCCTAAAGAAAATGCCCATCTTCGACACCTCAGGCTTGGCCACATTAATCTCAACATGATTGAGAAACTGGTTAAGAGCGGTCTTCTAAGTGAGTTAGACGACAACTCTTTTACCAGTATGTGAATCATGCCTTTATGGTAAAATGACTAAAAGGCCCTTTACAGCAAAGGGTTATAGAGCCAAAGAACCCTTAGAACTTGTGTATTCAGATCTTTATGGTCCGATAAATATTCGAACTCGAGGTGAGTATGAATATTTCATCTCTTTCATAGATTATTATTCATGATTTGATATCCTTACCTAATGCAACATAACTCTGAAGCTCTTGAAAAGTTCAAAAAGTATAAGACTGAAGTTGAAAATTCATTAGGTAAGTCCATTAAAACACTTCGATCAGATCATGGTGCTGAGTACATGGACTTAAGATTCCAAGACTATATGATAGAACACAGAATTGCTTTCTAACTCTCAGCACTCAGTACACCACAACAAAATGGTGTGTCATAAAGGAGAAACAGAATCCTGTTAGACATGGTTCGGTCAATGATGAGTTATGCTCAATTGCCTAACTCGTTATGGAGTTATGTAATGGAGACAGTCAGTTGATATCAGTCCAATCTAGGACCTGCACAATGGACTGCAGTCAAAACAATCCTCAAGTATCTTCGGAGAACGAGGGACTACATGTTTGTGTACGACACTGCAGTCAAAACAATCATCAATTGATAAACTGATAAATAGTATGGCGCTAAGGATGCAAAAAAATCAGTAAACCGAAGTTTTGGTGCATTGTTTGATCTAAACACTTTAATCACCTTAGAAAACTGTGTCTCGACAAGCTTAAGACAGCAAGGAATGATATGCAACACATCAGATTTATGCTTCATCAAATATATCCAAGTATAACAGGAACGATCATAAACAAGAGTAAAAAAATAAGAGTAACCATTATACGTGGGAGTATGAAAGGGCCCTCAAATGTCACAGTGAACTAAGTCAAAAACAGAATCAGCAACCTTATTTGTTTGGGGAAGAAAATACCCTGGACACGTGGAGGACCCCTATTGGTGCTCCAAGATGACTCATGAGTCATGCCCAGCTCGAACCGCCGAGATCACCACCGCTAGCGTTGACAGATGCTAAGTATGAGGGCCGAGGAGAACCTNGGCCGAGGAGAACCTGGCCGAGGTCCGACCTACCGGGAAGCTCGGTGGGGGCCGATATGAACTACTGTCAGCGGCGTGATTATCGGGTGTAACCGTCGGTCCCGAGATTACCGGGTGTAATCGACGGCCCCGAGATTACCGGGTGAAACCGTTGCGAGAATAGCGGGACTACCACCCATAAGTAGAGGGCCTCACTCCACGATCAGGGACGATGGTTTTCTGACCTCGAACTAAACTGAGAATCCGACCTATACTGACTTGATCGTCGGAGTGCTCACCTTTTTGTGCAGGTCCGCCCAAGTATTCAGATCGGTCCGGAGGCCGAGTTCGAGGTGCAACCAGAAGTACACCGTTGTGCATATCCTTGCATAAACATTATTGTTTACAACAAACGACAGACGATGTTGTTTGGCAAAGGGACAAACTGAACAAGCAGGAGAATAATTATAACAATCGGGTAAATCCAAAACATCATTCAAAAAGGGCTAAGCATGTAGGAGATAAATGTCTTAAACGATTATGCCAAGTGTTTATTGAGGTTTTACAAACAAATTCAGCAGTGACAGTAGTGTAATCTGACCAAGAAAGCAAGTATAAACCATTCACATATAGCTAGCTTTGCCAATCGTTCTCAAAAGTGGCTTGTCCTTGATAATACAAGAATCAGCAGAAAAAGGAACTAAGTATGCACCAAACTTTAACAGTGAACTGACAGAGAGCAAATTGAACGTGAAATCAGGGACAAATAAAACATCACGAAGCAGAAGAGAAGATCCTTTGATATATGTATAAACAACATAAATTCGGGCAAGTGTAGGAAGAATAACTGAGGTATTAGAAACACAACGCAAGTTGGAAAATAACTCTCGAATATGACAAATATGAGTGGAAGCACCTGAATCAACTACCCAAGCATCCAAGATATTTTCTTTAAATGAAGACAAGGCTGGAAAACCGGTACCCGCTACGTGTGTCACAGGATTGGTAGTGATAGGCTCAGATTTGACTCTCGAGAGGTGAGTATTGAGCATGTCCATTAGTTGTGCATACTGATTAGAATTCAGACTAGCAAAGAAAGCAGGCTGATTTGTGGAAACAATTGTTGTTGTAGATGAAGTCTTTTCAGTAGAAGAAACATTAGCAGAACTAGAAGTAGAACCGGCCATGGAGGAATTTTGTTGTCTGTTTCCTGGCGGATAGCCATAAAGCTTGTAACATAGATCAATCGTGTGTCCTTTAAGGCCACAATGAGTACAATGAGGACATTTATATTATTTTTTGCGAAAGTAATCATTCGCAGTTCGTTTAGAATTCTCGCTAGCAGCAACTGCCAAAGCAATTGAATATGGAAAGGAAATCAATTGTTGAATAGATCGTTGATGCTCTTCTTGGATGATAAGGGAAAAATCTTATTAATTGGAGGAATAGGATCCATTAGAAGGATTTGTGCCCAGACTCGAGCATAGGACTCATGCAGCCGCATCAAGAATACCATTATGTACACTGAATTGAACTAATCCAAGATTTGCTTTAAACCTTAGCAAGTACATGTGTTGGAAGGGCGGTATTCAGACAGCTCTTGCCAAACTGTTTTGAGTTTGGTATAATAAACCTCTACAGATGAGGTTCCTTGAATAATCGTCACAAATTCCATACGAACTTGATAGATCCGTGGTCCATTGCTTTGTTGAAAACGATCCTTAAGCTCCTCCCGTATGTCTTGTGCCGAATCTGAGTAAACAGGACTAGCCGCTACTTTTTTAGAAACATAATTCATTATCCAAGAAATTACCACATCATTGTTGCATTTCCAAGCATGTATCAGATTAGCACTCGATTTTTTGATAGACCCATCAACGAATCCTACTTTATTTTTGTTAAGTGCAATCAGCATGGCACGACTCCAGGAGTTGTAATTGTTGGCTCCTTGATAATTGTTGAGTAACGAGGACAGTCGCAGGTCTGAAAGAACGATGGAGAAGAAACGGATTCAAATGTGATTCAAATTGGAAGGATTCTAACCTGGCTACCATCTCCGATTGTGCTTGCGAAATTGGAGCATTTGTCGATGGAGGAATTAATGGTTGAACAAGTGGAGGTGGAGGCGGATCGACCGGAGCAGAAGGTGAAATTGATGATTGCATCATATCATCCATGAGAAACTTGATTAATCTAGAAGAATGTTCTCTCTTATTTGATACCATAATACGAAATATGAGGAATGAATCTGATATATTTACAGATTTCTCACTCATTTTATTAACTAAACATTGTCTTAATATAAATTATAAGAAGTGTAAGTCTAACTAACTTGGTAAACTATACAAACTCAATTAGCAATTAAGTAACTATAGTAAGTTATATTATAATAGAAGGTAAATATGATGTATTAAAAATGAATGAAAGAAAATAGAACATCGGACCATCGAAAAAAAATTTACAGTTGTATCTACGTACTAAATGGAAAATTCAAATAAAACATCTTCAATTAAAAAAAAAAAAAAAGAGCATCTTAAATCACAAAGTTGAAAAAAAAAAGGGCAACTCGATTGAAGATTTAATTAAGGATAATTGTAGTGGGTAGCAAAAAAGAATTTATGTATTTCAAAAAATGTTACCAGCTTTTCAAATTTTCAAATATAGCAAAATATCTGATTTTTTATTTTCGGATTTTTTATTATTCCGATTTTACCCTTATGTTATATGATATACATCCAATGTATATTTGTATCTGATATATATCCAATGTATTTTTGTATCTGATATACATTCAATCTATATCTGATATACATTCGACGTACCTCTGATATACTTCCGATATACATTTAGTGTACTCCTGATATACATTATCAGATGTACCCATACTATACATTATTAGATGTATGTATTATACCTCTAGTATCTCAAATGTATGATATACTAAATATTTTTGCGAACTGATATACTAAATATAAGATATATCAGTTGTTTAAATTCTAGTTTATCATTGCAATTTTTTGGTTGATATACTAATATTATCAATAATATTGATTACTATATCACTAATATTTATTCTATATTAATATTAATTAGATACTAGTATAAGGGATATAAACCGTTTAAATTTATAAAGTATATCAGATTTTTAACTTTTTTTTTTTTTACATGCATGATCCACATAAACCTTGTATACAATAATTTTATATTTCAAAATTTTTTTTACACCATTGTTTTCATATGAAAAAATAGTTGATATAATAGTATTATATCAGTACACATGTATCATAGTTATATTAGTAGATATCATGGTTATATAAGAGGTATATAAATAGTAAATTAGAGGCATATTAAGTATATATCAAATATATATCAATGTTATATTAGTGGTAAATCATATAATCATATATAAGAAGTTATATCAATAGATATCACAGTTATATCAGTGGTATATCAATAGTAAATTAGAAACATATCAAGTATATATCACAGACATATAAATATTGTATCGGCGTGGTAAATCAATGGTTATCATACGTATATTAGTGGTAAGCTATGTTAGAAGTTCAGTAGATATCATACTTATATTAGAAGTAAATCAATTGTATATCACTATTATATTAGTGGTGTATCAAAGACATATATCATTAATCATATATATTGTAGATATATTATAGATATATTGTAGGGTAAAATTATAATTTAAAATTGGACCTCCGTTTTTTGTTGAAAAAAAATGCTATATTTGAAAAAACTAAATGTGGTTATTATTTTGTTTATGTTACTAAATATTTTTACCATATTTGTAGCTACCCCTTTAATTAATAGAAAATCTAAGAGAAATAAGCCTATAATATTTAGAAATGGTTAAAGGATAATTTAAAATAAAAAGTTGTCTCGTAGGTACTAAATTGAGAACAATTTTTAAATAAAAAAAAGCTTAAATCACATGTAAAGTTGAAAAAAAGGGACAAGTTTAATTAATATAAAATCTACAATAAAATCTATAATATCTAGAGATAATTAAATATTAATTTAAAATAAAGAAAATGTAGTTTGGAAGAGATTTTAAATAAAAAAAATATATAAGTATCACTCTCATAATTTATAATACTTTTGGCAAATTTTCATTTGAACTCTAGATCATGTGGTTAGCGTATATATATATTTTTTGTTTTTAATTAGGGGCAGTTTCAAATATGGCAAAAATATTTAGTAAAATAAGTAAAATAGCAACCATATGTAGTTTTTTCAAATATAACATTTTTTTAAACAAAAAACAGAGATTCAATTTTAAAATTATAACATTTACCCTAGAATATATCTGATATACATCTGTAGTATATCTGCAATATATCTGACATATATGTCTCTGATATACCACTAATATAATAATGATATACAATTGATTTACTTTTGATATACTATGATATCTACTAAACTTCTAACATGGCTTACCACTGATATACGTATTGTTAGGTGTGTTGCCCTAAACTCGTGGTTTATATTTATGTAAAAACAAATGTATATTCTATAAAGTTTTATCCAATCAATTTGTTGTTGAATTCATAGCATTGTATTGTCCAAAATCCAATAAACTAAACATCCAAGGTTATTATCATGTAATCGGGACAGTATATCTACTGGGTATATATTTGATAAACCCTTGATATACTAGGTATATATTTGATATACCACTAATATACAAGTGGATAATGTCCTGTGAATAACCTAAAGGGTCTATAGTATATGGATAAGGCTGGGTACCTTATCCTTACAACACTATGGATACAGCCCACTTTGTCAATGTTACAGACGACTCAATCCAGGTCGTTCGTGTGGAGACATGTGAGTGGGGGTATCCTATACAATGAGTTTGTATAAGACCGGACCGCGAAATAGTCAATATTTAGATATAACGCCGTTGACTAACAAATTGCTATTTCATAGGATGACCAAACAATCCATTCTCAATCCTGAGTGAGTTTTGGACTCCTGCCCGTGATGGCTCGTCCTTTGATCTGTATGGGTGAGAGTTGCCCGAGTCGGCGACTCAATATTTCTACAATTTTGGGGATGAGACCGAGTGGGGAGCTATGAACATAACTTCACAAAATGGAATTCACTCATCCCCGACTTAGGGAGTAGATGAGTATTCTCTTAAATGCTGACTCCGGGACTTGAACAAGGGGCCTCACCCTCTCACTGGCTCGAGAGGAACTTCCGATTATTGGTTGGACCATAACTGGGTTGTTCATTAGAGAAACAGTGGTACTTAGGAAGTAACATGTAACTTAGGGGTAAAACGATAAATTTGACCCAGCTTGAGTTACGAGCACTAATGAAGGATTGAATTGCCATTACTGGTCGTATATCCATGGACATGAAAACATTATGCAGTGAGAAGAGTGCAACTGCGGGTCTTTAGTGAAGTGACCCGTAGTTAACGAATGTTGATTAACTCGGTCAATGAGTTTGACCGATTAACCTCATATGGTTTGAGTTTCTGATCTGTAGGTCCATTAGGTCCTCTTGCTAGCTCATAACGGATAAAACAAGAATCAAGTTTTTGGAAAATTTTGAAATGTTCAAATTGCTCAAGGGATTATATGTATAATGATACATTATAATATATAGTTAATTCTAATTGAAACTATATATTATGAGAGAAATTATTTGAATGACATTTAAATAAAATTAATTTGAATATGATTCATATTAAAACTATAGGTTAAAAATAATGCGCATAAGATATACATTACAACTATAGGTTATATGAGAGAAATGATATAAAATATAATTCTATTTTTTGATAAATAATTAAGTGTTAATTATTTATTTGATTTATATATTTATACATATATATATTAATTGATTATTAATTAGATTAATAATTAATTAATTAATTATATATATATATATTAATTATATATATATATTATATATTAATTATTAATATAATTTAATATTAATCTGAATTTTAATATTAACACTCTTTCTTACTTAATTGCAGGGAAGTGAGGTGGCAGTTATGACGTGGGGAGTTACCCATGTCATATTTTTGGGTGATGTAGAACAGTTCTGCAAACAACCCAGTTGAATGAGAGTTTTCCCCCTACAATCCTCTCAAGCATTCTCTCTAAATCACACTCTCTCAATTCTCCCTTGCGTTCCAACTCGATCGTTTCCACAAGCGTGTTCTCGATACCTAGAGGATAGCACGGAAGGTCTATTGGTGGTGTTCCTGAAATCGTTTGAAGAATAGTTCTTCAAATGTAAGTTTTCCCCTGTATTTCACAATTTGCATTATGGGTTTTGTTCTTCTAAAATTCATGAACGAAGATCATCGCTTCCGCTACGGGACTTACATCCTATCACGTATGATAACCATTGATTTACCACACCGATACAACATTTATATCTGTGATATATATTTGATATGTCTCTAATTTACCATTGATATACAAATGATATACCCTTGAGATAACTATGATATCTATTGATATAAGTTCTTATATATGATTATATGATTTACCACTAGTATAACATGAATATATATTTGATATATACTTAATATGCTTCTAATTTACAACTGATATAGCCATGATATCTACTAATATGATTATGATACATGTGTGTTGATATAATACTATTATCCACTATACTTTTCCTAAGAAAATAATGGTTGAAAAAAAAATTAAAATATAAAGTTTAGATCATGCACGTTAAAAAAAAAAGTTAGAAATCTGATATACTTTATAAATTTAAACGGTTGATATTCATTATATTTAGTTTTTAATTACTATTAATATAGAATAAATAGAAGCGACATAGTAATCAACATTATTAATAATATTAATATATCAATAAACAAATTGCAATGGTAAACTAGAATTTAAACAACTGATATACCACTAAAAATTAAACATTTGATATAGCTTATATTTTTTATATCAGTTGCAAATATATTTAGTATATTGTAAATTAGAGGTACATCAAATATATATATTAGAGGTATAATACGAACATGTGATAATATATATCATGAATAAATCTGATAATGTATATCAGGGGGACATCGGATGTATATCAGAAGTATATACGAGGTACATTGAATGTATATTAGATATACATTGGATGTATATCACATACAAATATACTTTGGATATATATCAGATATCATAAGGGTAAAATCAGAATATAAAAAGTCTGAAAATAAAAATTCAAATATTTTGCTATATTTGAAAAGTTCGTGACATTTTTTTTAATATATGAATTATTTTTTCTACTCAGTTACCCTTTTAATTTTGGATTGAGAGGTCATTATAATTTTGCTGTAAATGATTATTTTGAAATTATCATGCTTCATGTAATGTATTATTATTATTATTATTATTATACATTTTAGTTATTGTGTCTAATTTAATCAAAATAAGTACTTAACAAAATTCTAAAATATAAATAAAATTTGAAAAATTAACATCTCAATTTTAGAATTGATGAGAATAAATTTTTATTCATTAAAATTGGATAGAAAAAATACCATTGGGATTGTCTAGAATTGCACCCTAAATTAAAATTTAGGGAAGAAATCAGCAAACAAAAATACGGTTACACAACTCCAGATTTCATAATTCTGCACTTCAAACACACTTTAGAACTCTAGGCGAAACAACTCTGCACTTACAGGCATGGTCCAAATGTTTTAAAAAGCTTTTGGGTTACAAAAGGGAGGAATTTAGAAACACCTAGGAGCATTACTTGATATTGTTCTTTGAAGTATGATTGTTTTTGGTAGTATACATGGTGCTCGTGGGATATAAAATGGTTGTGTTTGCTCGAGGACGGACAAAAATTTAAGTTTGGGGTTGTGATAACGATGGTTTTGAATAGTAAATTGGTGTCTAATTCATGTTGATGTGAACTTAAATTTACAAATAGGTATCTATAATGAACTCATTTATAGTCAAAGTTGTGCATATCCATGAAGGGTTTCTAATATTATGAATAATGTGACTTAGCAATTTAACGGACTTTTGGTGCACAAATCTTAGAGCATCCTTTATTTTGCGGCTGAAAAACAGAGCAACGTGGAAGGTCCTGAGCGTAATTCTAGCTAGAAACCCTAAAAAACGCGAATTCTGTGAGCATTTTGACAATTCTGCATAATTTTGGAGTTAGTCAAATGCCTAATTTTAAGCAGCTAATTTCCTTCAATCTTGCAACCATTCAACCAATAGGAGGTCCAATAATTTCAGAAAATAATGGAAGTTGCAGATCATATTCTTAATTTTAGTCTTTTTTACGCCATTTGATAACCATTTTAGTTTTTAATTTTTGGTTTTGATTCTCTGTTTTTAAAAAACAAAAACCATATATGTTTGATAACCATTTTTTTGTTTTTTGTTTTTAAAAAGTTAGAAAATTGAAAATATATATTAGAGCGAGATAATTTTATGTAGAGTAGAGATGAGAAGGTGTGGGTGCGAGTGAGGATGCTCTTCCCCATTCTTGTGCTCTTGTAAATTTTTAGTCTCTGTCTCCACCTCGTTCTTGGGTCCGAGAGATGTATTGGTTTTATAGTTGTTTTTAATTATTTTTAGAATTTAAGTATAAAAAAAGCGTAATAAATATATATTAATTATTTAAAAAATGGAATCGGGGACAGGGACAGGGTCGGGACATGAAATTTTTGTCTTCCCCCCAATGTAGAGACATAAAAATACAACTTTAGAGAGATGTAAATAAACTTTTGGAAGATAAATTTTAGAGAGATAAATAATAATATTTAGAAAAAAAATAGTGAAAGAAAAGTTAAAGACAAAAAGAGAAAAATTTTTAGAGAAAAAGAATAAAGTCGAGAGGAAAATATATGTTAAAGAAAAAAATTATAAAGAAAGATAAATTACAGTGGAAACAAATTTAGTGATAAAAACAAGATTCAAAATATATTTTTTAGAGAAAATAAATAAATACAAAGATAAATAAAAATTACACTGAAAGAAAATTGGACGAAAAAATAAAATATAATTTTAGGAAAAAAATAGATTACGAAGAGAAAGAAAAGTTATAAAAGATGAAATTTAAGAGAGTAAAAAGTTAAAGGAAAATATTAAATTTTTAGAGAGAGAAATGAAACTGATTTGTTAGGAAAAAAAATACACAAAAATTTGGAGAGAGACAAATAACAATAAATATTCGAAATATGAAAATTTTAAAGTGAGAAATAAATTTTTTAGAGATAAATACAACAAAGAAAAAAAAAGTTGAGTATTAGAAGGAAAAATCAAATTTCGAAAAACAAAAACCTATTTTCGAAAACTACTTTTTTTCAATTTACATAGAATTTCAAAATGATTTTTGAAAAACAAAAAACATAAAATTGAATTGTTATAAAAAATCCTGTTTTTTAAAAATTAAAAACTAAAAACCAAAAACAGAAAAACAAAATGGTTTTTCAACTCATTCTTTTGGTTTTCCAACTTGTTATTTTCAGTTTTCTAGCAAGTTATTGTAAATCGTCCATACTTTCTGTTACCTTTTAGTTTGTCTTAAATCAATTCATTAATTTATTTATTTCCACCTTTCCCTCAGTCGATCTAGAGAGAGAAAGTGGGAAAAGTGCTCGAAAGATCAAGAACTGTAAAATTGTAAAATTCAAACGAGTTAACTACTCCCCTCTGATGCAAAGAGAGGGTAAAGTTCATAACTTCTATTTTTTTTTTTTTTTAATTTCTCTTAGGGCCTCTCATTTCCAGCTTAGTTTCAATATTTATAGGACCAATAGGTTAAAAATGGGTTTGTGCCCTTTCTGAGAGATAGCTTAGGTGGCTTAGAACTTCAAGGAATATTCTTGAGGTCTTGAGTTTAAGTCACATGGAATGCAACTTCACCAAACAATGACTCCTTGTGTATGTACGGGTACGAAGACAGTTTCTACAGCAGGTGTTCGATATAGCCTTGGTCGATCACTTTTCCGAGTCGGGATTGATAAGTGGAATCTAAAAAGGAAAACAGCAAGACACCACCAACACTAGCAACATCCCAATAGCCAAATTACAAGCATTTTCTTCTTAATCACAGCTAACATACCTTGACCATCCAATCCTTTCATCAATGTTCCAGTTTCATTTCAATCAAACTCACCTCCTCAAACTACCTAGAAAATCAGCATGATGAGTTCATCAATGACAAGGATAAAGAGGATGCAGTCAACCCACAATACATCCAATGGATCAACAATGAAGGGTTGTTAATTTCATGGCTTCTTGGAACTATCTTTGAGGACATTCTAACCATGATTGAAAACACTAATACGGCTAAAACAGTGTGGACATCATTGGAAGAATGAGTTTGTACTAGCCCACAAGACCCATGAGGTAAGGATTAAAGCAGAACAAGCTGAGGAATTTATTAAGACTGCTCGATTAGTTACAATGGTTAGCCTAAATTATTCTATTTTTAGTTATTCTAATTTTAGTGGTTTTGGTTACAATAGTTTCGTTGAGAAGATGTTATGTTACTTATTGTATTCAGCGGTAGTCATATATATGGTTCTGCTCTTTTTTTATCAATGAATAAGTTTTGGACGAATGTATTTATGATCATTCTTGTGCTTACTCTGTGTTTTTTGTGTTGGTATCAGAGCCATAGTCAAACGACTAGCTCTTTATCGATGCAATAATGGCATCAGTTACTTTAGTTGGAAATCCATAAAATTCAAGCATGGTTCAAACAACAAAGACGATCAATCTTGGGAGCAAAACCACAGTTGTGAAATTGAATGATGACAAACTACTTGTAATGGAAGTTTCAAGTTCTTACAGCAATTCAAGGGCATGGTTTGGAACAGTATATTGATTCAGATATAGAACCACCTTCACGGTTTATTCAAAATGGTGATGGAGTTACTTCGTCGACTACTCAACAACCGAATCCGGAGTATTTTCACTGGATTAAGCAAGACAAACTTATTTCTTTGTGGTTGCTTGGATCAATGAGTGAAGAAATTTTGTCGCAAATGCTGGATTGTCGAATGGTCAAAGAAATTTGGACGTTGTTAGAGTGTACGTTTGCATCTCGAAATTTGGCTCGAGTAATGCAACTCAAATCGAAGCTGGAAAATATGAAGAAAGGAAGTATGAATCTCAAGAATTATTTTCTCAAAATAAAAAATCTTGTAGATTCTCTAGCTACTGCAGGGAAGAGACTTCCGACAGATGATCATATTATGCACATTTTAGCTAGATTAGGACCTGAATTCGATTCCATAGTGTCCGTCATCTCTACTCGAAAGTCTCCTCAGTCGATTCAAGAGGTTTGTTCACTTTTACTTCAACAAGAAGGTCGGAATGAGAGAAATCTTGTCAATTCGGATGGATCAATTCCTTCTATTAACCTTGCTCTCGGTGAATTGACCAAGAAGAATAGCCCTAATTCTTCTAATTCAAATCAAGGACAGGGGAATAACAATAACAAATCCTCCAATCGACGATTCTGGAGTGAGAACAACAAACCTCAATGTCAAATATGTGGTAAATTTGGTCATACGGCACTTCGCTGCTATATGAGATTTGAACGATCGTATCATTGACCAAATGTTAATAATAATGGTCAGCCCTCTTCGAATGGTTTCTCCCATGGATTTCCTCCACAAGTTCAGTCTTCCACTGGTTTTTCATCCTCATCTACACCTGCTCAAAGTAATTTTGGTGTTTTTGGAGGCTCCACTCCACAAATGCAAGCCATGATGGTTGCTAATGATTTCAATCGGGATGTTACTTGGTATCCAGATTCCGGAGCTACGAACCACGTGACGAATGACTTTGGGAACTTCTCTCTTGGATCTAAGTATCATGGTAATGGTAAGATTCAAGTCGGTAATGGAACAAATTTGAGCATTTCTCACATTGGTTCTGCACTCTTACAGTCTATTTCCGCTTCCAATTCTTCTCAACCTGTCTTTCACTTACAAAATTTACTTCATGTTCCTCAAATAGCAAAAAATCTAATTAGTCTTAGTCTGTTTGCAAAAGATAATCATGTATTTTTTGAGTTTCATCCTTCTAATTATTTTGTAAAGGATCTCACAACTGGACAACTCCTATTTCAAGGGACGGTTCATGATGAGCTTTATCAATTTGAGCTGCGTAAAGCTTCATCTCAGAAGCCTTTTTCAGTGTCTTCCACCAGTAATAATTCTCCAACTATTTTCAATTCAATTCTTCAGTACTCTAATTCACCTATGTTACATGCTCCAATTACTTGTAATACTTCTGTATTGGATATATGGCATAGGCGTTTTGGCCATTCTTTTTTTTTGCCTATTGTTCAAACCGTTATGAGATCTTGTAATAAAACTTCTACTTTGTGTCATGTGTATGCCATTGGCAAAGCTCATAATCTTCCTTTTCCCACTTCTCAGACTGTATATACTACTCCCCTTCAATTGGTTGTTGCAGATTTGTGGGGCTCTGCTTATGTTTCTTCTCAAAATGGTTTTCGCTACTTTCTTAGTTTTGTTGATTCCTATTCACATCACACTTGGATTTATTTTCTGCACAATAAATCTGAAGCCTTTCAAGCATTCTTACTGTTTAAGTCTTTGGTTGAGAAATCATTGAATTGTTCAATCATCCGTCTTCAAACTGATGGTGGTGGTGAGTTTCGGTCTTTTGTTCCGTTTCTCCGAACTCACGGAATTGAACACCGCCTATCGTGTCCCTATACTTCTCAACAAAATGGTATTGTAGAGCGAAAACACCGTCAAATTGTTGATATAGGTCTTACACTTCTTTCACAAGCTTCTATTCCATTAGTCTTCTGTGATGATGCGTTGTTCTCTACAGTAGCTTACTTGATAAATCGTCTTCCAACTACTGCTTTACATGGACTTTCTCTGTTTGAGAAGTTGTTTAGTAGGCGTCCTGACTATTCTTTTCTTAAAGTCTTTGGTTGCTTATGCTTTCCATCCTTGCGAGCATATAATAATCATAAAATTCAATCTCGTTCTATACCGTGCTTGTTTCTTGGTTATAGTCTTCAACATAAAGGGTATAAATGTTTAGCTTCCACGGGTCGTTTACATTCCGAGACACATTCTTTTTGATGAACATTGTTTTCCCTTTGCTACCTTATTTCCTTCATTAAATTCCACTCTACAGCCATCTATTTCTTCGTCTATTTCTGTGTTACCGTTTTCTTTGCCTCCTTCCTGTGTCGGTGTTCCCTCTGATTTACCTCCTTTGCATTCTACCTCACATGTTGTTGCTTCTCCTACAACAACTTCTTCTCCTTTGGTAGTATCTTCTCTTTCGAATGGTCTGTCTTCTCCTTTGGCACCATCAGCTCCCACCTCTTCTCCCATTGATCCTACTTTAACCCCATCCTCTCCAGTGATTGTTCCACCTACTAATACTCATCCTATGGTAACTCGGTACAAGAATGGTATTTCTGAACCCAAAGCTTTCTTTACAAATTATCTTGAGATTGAGCCTCCACTAGTAAAAGCAGCCTTACAGTGTCTTTATTGGGTTAAAGCTATGAATGAAGAGTATGATGCTCTTTTACGTAACAAAACGTGGTCTTTAGTTCCTCAACCGCAGGATAAAAAGATTGTCAGGTGTAAGTGAGTCTTCAAGATTAAAAGGAATTCTGATGGGTCAATTGTTCGTTATAAGGCCAACCTTGTTGCTAAAGGATTTCATCAGACAACAGATATTAATTGTACTGAAACTTTTAGCCCCATGGTTAAACCTATTACCATTCGAGTTTTGCTAACACTTGCTCTTGCTCATGGCTGGTCACTCCGACAACTTGATGTCAATCGGTTTCTTCTTGAAGAAGTTCTTATGACTCAGCCACCTGATTTGGTAGTTCGTGGTAGTCAGATTCCTCTTGTTTGTAAGTTACATAAAGCCATGTATGGCTTAAAATAGGTTTCACGCGCATGGTTTGATTATTTAAGCTCTTTCTTGCATTCTTTGGGGTTCTCTAATTCTCGAGCTGATTCTTCTTTGTTGTTTCGGCACTCTGGCTCTTCTCACTACTACATTTCAGTGTATGTAGATGTATGGTAATCACAGAAAGTTCACAATCTGAGATTGATAACTTGGTGGCGGCTTTACATACTAAGTTTTCACTTAAAGACCTTGGTGTTATCAACTATTTTTTGGGAATTGAAGTGTCTCATCCTTTTATGGGTGGCCTATTTTTGTCTCAATCGAAGTATATTTCTTATTTGTTGCATAAGACTACAATGCATGTGTCTAATCCTATTGCTACACCTATGATAAGTGGCACAGTGTTGTCTGCTTTTAAGGGTGAGCCGTTTTCTGATCCTCACTTGTTTCGTAGCACTGTTGGCACCTTGCAGTATGTTACTATCACGCGTTCTGAGTTGGCTTATTCAGTGAACAAAGTGTGTCAGTTCATGCATGCCACTACTACAGTTTATTGGCAAGCTGTTAAATGAATTCTTTGATACCTCAAGGGCACTTTTGCTCATGGTTTGTATCTTCGAAAACCAGTTGATTTTACTCTTCAGGGATTTATTGATTCGGATTGGGCTTCGGATCCTGACGATCGCCGCTCTACTTCCGGTTTTTGTGTTTATCTTGGTGGTAATCTTATTACATGGTCTTCTAAGAAACATAATGTTATTTCGAGGTCAAGTACTATTGATGCGTGGATTTCAGTCCTCCGGTTCTCCTCCTCGCACCCACCAAACTTGTTGATTCGGGACTAGTACCTGCAAAACCAAATCGAGTTAAACCGGTGTGACTCTAGTCACAAGGGCTCCGATGCTTAAGTTAGCAAGAGAATAATGTAAATGTAGTCAACTTTTAGATGCCCTTACCTCTAAGGTTGGATCGTTACTTATAGCCGTGAAGTAGTTCCAGAACTTTCCGTAGCTAACCCTAGTTCACCGTTGCAGGGCCTGTGGTAATCTTATCACAGGGCTTGGGCCGTGGGCCGAGCACGGGTCGGGACCGAGCCCCTCGTGGCCTAGTGGGCTCCCCTCCGATTGTGACCTGTAGCTCGACTATCGATTCCCGTTGCATAACAGTTGCCCCTACTCCCAATGCGATGTTTTCGATCTCATTGGGAGTATAGCTTTTGTAGTGACTTATCTTGTCATGTAGGCCCGTGATTCAGGAGAATGCAAGTTTTTCAGGGTTCGCACCGAGAATGTTTCGGTGCAACGGTCAAGGACCGTGGCCCGAGTCGATTAAGTTGTCGAATCATTGTGGGGCCCGTGGTACCCTAGCCGCAGTGAGTTGTCTTATCTTCATGAGACATAAGAAAGTGCATGTCGATTTTCCCTTTCCTTGCAAGACCCGACGCAATTGCCATGCAATTGTCACATCTACAGTAGACCCGTGACTTCGAGATCACGAGGTGTTGGGTACCGAGCCGAGAAGTC